CATGGTTGCCATTAAAAGAAAGCTTTATTAGTGCATGGGTTGATCATTATCTTCATTTGGGTAATACATCAACATCTCGTGTAGAAGGTTCTCATTCAGTATTAAAAAAATACCTTCAAATTTCAACGGGTAACTTAAATATAGTCCATGAGAAAATTTCACTATTATTAGAAAATCAACATCATGAAATCAAAGCAATGATTGCTAAAGATAAAACCCGTATTAAACTTCTCTTTTAACAATACTATTATTGAAAAAAAAGTTTATATATAGTTATTTCTCTATATAATTACTTTTTATATAATCACACCTTCTATATAATCACAGATTTTTATAAAACAAAATATTTATTTAATAAAATCTTTTATATAAGCACAATAAGCTTATAATTACTAACACCAACTTTAATATTAAAATAGCTTTTTTTATATAGTAAAATACTTCTATATAATTATATAGTTATTATACTGTATAATTTAAAACTGATTTGACAATTAAACTGATTAACAAACCAGTTTTATTAAAAATTAACTAATTTTAAATTTTAATTTTAAACTTTAATATAAATATAGAAATTGTAATACTAACTTTAATTTTAATCTTATACATGATATCTATTCAACTTATAGAAAGAACACATACTACAATAAGTAATAGTTTAAAATATAAAATTTGTAAATATAATCTAAAGTATTCTATTTTATATACAAATACAAATTGCTATATATTTTAAGAGAATATTATTATAGTGCTATAGTACCGTAGTGCTACCCTATATGTAAATACAAAATTGGTGTAACATGTAAATCAAAACAATTTAACCTTTACAAAAAATAAAACTTTTAATTAGGTTTAGATTAAAGTTGGGGTTAAAGTTAGGCAGGCATAGGTTATACTAAAATTTTGCAAAGAATTTTTTTTATTAGAACACAAAAGATAGTTTTTTAAATAAAATTTGGAGATATAATTAATTTTTTAAAAATTTATTATTTTTGTTACACAAAGGGTGATCTGCATGTTACACCTGATCTTAAATTTTAATTGGTCACAATACCCTAGCACCATAGTGCTATAGCACTATAAAATAAATCCCATATTTTAATACTTAAAATTCAAAAAGAAATCTTAATCACTTTACTATTTCTAAAATATTAAAAAATAAAGATTAATAGTTAGCTAAAACAGATGCAGAAATTTCTAATATAGTTTTTAAACATAAAAAAACAAAATTTCTACAATTAAACTGTACTATGTAATTATAGGTTGAAAGTATTATTTATAAAAGATTGTTTTAACTAAAGCAATAATTAAAGAAAAAGCTATCTATTTTGCTTATACTCTTTTATTATCTAAAGACGTATTAAAATTTTCTAATAGTTAGATTAACAAATTTAAAAAATAAAACTATTTGCAAAATTTTTAGTTATATAGTAAAGCAAAGAGTATACCAATTGAATCACTTCTAAAGTTTCAACTAGAATTACAAAAAATTATTTAAGAATATACATTAGATAATATATATAATGCAAATGAAACTAAGTTATTTTATTACTTAATACTATATTAAATATTAGCATCTAAACCATATTCTAATTAGAAAAAAGTAAGTAAAATTTTTTTTTGTTTTTTTTTTAAAAAAAAAGCCAAAAAAAATTTAAACTTATAGGACCATATATGTATTACAATATTATTAGCTTCTAATGCTATTAGAACTGATAAGTTATAACCACTTGTAATCAGATCTAGTATTAAGCTACAAGCTTTAGTTGATATAAATCATTAAATATTACTAGTTACATATTGTTTAAATGAAAATACTTGGATGTGTAGCAATATATTTGGCAAATAGCTAAAAATTTTGAATAAAAAATTTTATCTTGAAAATTTTTAAATTTTACTATTAATAGATAGTGCTGTATATCACTTTGATTCAAATAAAACAACAGCCAATATACCAAGTAATATATAAGATATATTTGATAATAATAGCAAGATAATACATAGAATAATAAAAGAGCAAGAAGTAGTCTAGAAAAATATAACAAAATTTACAAAAGTGTGTATAAACTTCTAGACTCTTCTAAACTTCACCTTATCAATATTAGAATCAATGACATCTAGTGTAGAACTTAGTAATAAGCAGACTACTTAAATAGGCAACCAAAAGTTGTACGTGTGACTAGTAT